GCCTTCACCTGAAGTATGTTCCTCAACCATCTCTTACTTCAGATCTGTTGACTACCACGCATCTGATAATCTGATAATCTGATAATCTGATAATCCTCATTTCTCATCATTTAACACACTTTTTTATGCATCTCTCACGCCATGCCTTCTTTTTTGCCGCTTCTTTCTCCGCCTACCTTTCTTCTCATCCTCACATCTGAACCGTCTTCCTCCTGAACTTTTCACGTGCACTTCATCCCGCAGCACAGATCCATCCCTTCTGTTGCCTGGTAACCCCTCTCTGTCTTCCTATTGGCTGGGAAAAAAAAGACAGGAAGTTTGATATTTATAAAAACCAGGAAAAAAAAAAGACATTTGGCAGCGACAATTTATTTCTCAACATCGCTGGCTTTGTTTAGCTCCGTTTGTGTGTGTGTGTGCGGAGAGCATGTGCGGGGGTGTGGGAACTCAAAGCTCAGTCTCAAAGCACAGCTGAAATAAACACACTCCACTTTCAGCTCTACACACACTCACTCACTCACACACACACACTTTCCTCTGTCACACACACGCAGTGATCACACACTGGCAGCTTACCGGGGAGCGATCAGCAGTGACAGCTGTTCGACACTCTTGACAGTTTATTCTGGCAGTATACCTGCCCTATGGTGCCTGTGTGTGTGTGAGAGAGTGTGTGTGAGTGAGTGTGTGTGTGTGTACACTTGAGAGTACCTGGGTCGAAAAAAAAAGAGACTGCGTTTACATTTAGTTGATTTTCAGGCACTTTGGTGTGTTTCAGAAATGCACTCACAGCAGAATCAAATTGTTTCTCTGGCCTGTTATGTACATGTGTGTGCGAGTGTGTAAATGTGTGTTTGTGTGTGTGTGTGTATGTGTGTGATTTTGGGCCGGGCTTTGCCTCTTAAACGGTGACACCCATCCCTTGGGCTTAAATACAGCGCACACCATGATGCAATCTGTCAGGCGAACACACAAACATACAGTAAAAATGCACCAACTGTTCCCAAGAATTTAACGTGTGTGTGTGTGTGCGTGTGTGTGTGTGTGTGTGTGTGTGTGTGTGTGTGTGTGTGTGTGTGTGTGTGTGTGTGTGTGTGTGTGTGTGTGTGTGTGTGCAGCATCACTTAGAGCCAGCTGAGATGATGTTTTCCCACTCAAACACACTGATTTATTCGTCTATTGATGTTTTAAATGTCGCTGCAGTCACACAGCTGCACAGATGGGAAAACATATTGATGTATTTACAGGGAATCTTTTATGACGACAAACATGTTTGGCCATGTTGTAAAAATCGTCTCTCTCTCTCTCCTCTCTTTGTTTTTTTCTCCTCCAAACAGCAATCCCGGGAATGATCGTCCCTCCCATGTAAAGGTGTGAGTGCACAACTGTGTGTGTGTGTGTGTGTGCGCGCGTGTGAAAGTGTGTGTTTGAGATGACTGAAGCACACTCAAAGTGGATCCTGGCTGAGGATTTCGGTGCGAGTCAGACTCCGGTCGGGGATGGAAGCAGCCGTCTTGATCTGAAGGAACAAACCCAACTCAGGCCCTTTCTAACACGAGAACAACTTCAAGAAAAAAACAGACTTTAAAAACAACAAAAAAAACCAGACTGTTTGCAAGTAAATAAGTTGTTTAGACTTTGTATGCCTTGATGCTTTTATAGGAGAACTGCCACGCCTACATTAAGACTCTCCACAGACACAGGAAGTGTATTTATTTTGGAGAGAATCCACTTAAAAGTGATTGTTGATTTTGTTTTTTCTTTTCGTGCAACAGTTACCGTGTGATAATCATCTTCTGACTGTATCTCACCTGAGAGCTTTTCTATTTATGAAGTTTGGTTTAAATGAAGGAATATAATGTGAAGAATAACCTGAAGATGAGGAGTTAAAGCGCTGATGATGACGATGATGATGATGAAGAGGCTACAGGATCCATACAGCTGACACAGACAAGCCAAACCAGACGAACTCACACACACCTCCATGTCTCTTTGCCAAATACACTTTTAGCACAAACGTTCATCTTCCTCTGCAGCTGATCGATCCGCTTAAAGATTCAGACGCCTTCAGAAAGTGCTGCAGATTTACTCGTTCATAAAATCACACATTTGACTTCTGCAACGCCACACAGACGTGCCACTTCTTTGGTGTTTTAGCCATCAGACGGAGCAGAGAGAGATGAAACGCAGTCAGATAACGGATGACTTATGCTGCATTCGAGTTACTTCAGAAGTCAGAATTCCGAGCTGAAAATGACGTCACACCCGAGTCAGAAAAAAGCAAAATCAGAGGCGGAAACATGATGGCTACATGCCTTGCCTTGTCCAAATATAAGCAAGGACAAGGTAAGAGCTAAAATAACTTTCGTACATGTAGCCATCTTGTTTCAGCCTCCGATTTTGCTTTTTTCAGACTTCGTAACTGAAACGCTGAAAACTCGGGTGTGACGTCATTTTCAGCTCCGACATCTGACTTCCGAGGTAACTGGAATGCAGCATTACAGCAGTGCTAATTAGGGTTGGGCATCGTTTAAATTTTGAAGATTCCCGTTCCGATTCCGATTCCTTGTTTCGATTCCAGTTCCTAACGATTCTCTATTTCAATTCCTTTGAAAGGCAGGATAAAATAAATTTATTAAAATGAAGCCAGACTTTGAGGTATTATTTGCTGTCCATGTTCAGACAAGTGATGTTCTTGCTAGCGGATGCACTAGAGAACACCGAGCAGAGTAATACACGCCCCGAAAAACAAACTAGTGCGGGCTCTCGGAACCAAAAAAAAAGGATCGGAATTCAAAAATCTGCTTAACAGTTAGGGAACCAGATGTTAGGAACCAGTTTTCAGTACCCAACCCTACAGCTAATTCAGTAAAAAGCCAAAAATATTAGGTGCAGGATTTGATCCAACAAGTCTACCGCAGAGTCCAGTCAAGTCTAATAACCATAATTCAGACAAAGCCGCTCTGATGTCCATAAGTGGGTAGACGTGTCTTAAAGACGAGTGCCGTGTTACTCTGAGAGAGTTTTATTGTCTTAATGCACAAACCCTGAACACTTCTTTGTTTGTTTGAATCAAATTATGATTTTTCTTTTCTGTTTCCAGCCCCTCTACCCTGAACTTGTCTGATCTGTTTGTCTTAAATGCAATGCTGCCTAGAATGACAAGAAATTAGTCTTCAGTTAAGGTCGACTTTGAAGGTCCCATATTTTACAATCACAGGTCTCAGAGGTCCCAGAACAGTCCATTTGAAGTTTGTTGTCTAAAAACCCAGTTTTTTTCCTGGATTTCAGCCAGCCTGAAAACTCTCTCTGGTGAGCTCTACCTAGAACATCCTGTTTCTGTGTGCTGCGCCTGACCACGCCTCCTTTAGCACAAGATACGCCCCTCCCTGTCTCTCTGGAAGAGGGGGTGTGGCTTGCGCTACTGTACCTTGCGCTAATGTTTACACAGAGTGCAAGTGCTAGCCGTACCAGTTTGATCCAGAGCCTGACCCAGAAGGAGAGGCTCCTGAAGAAATTCCAACTCTGTGGCTGCAGCAGGACGTTTCTGAACGGTTACTTACAAATATTATGAGTCTCCATGTTTTTCTTTTTACTTTGTTCGTGTGTTGGTACACAGTGACTTACATGTAGCTAGGTACCTTGAGCTCCTGCTAACGGTTGCATTAGGGTGACCATTAGTCCTCTTTTACCCGAGCATGGCCTTTTTTGGGGGGGGGCTGTCTGGCTTTGTCCGCAGAAGTTTACGGTTTTGTACGGAAGTTTCAAGTTTATGTCATGTGGACTTCCTGAGTTAGAAGCGCGCAAAAAGACACTCGATCCAACCAGAAAAACTCTCAAAATTAACTTTACGTGACTCCGTGACTCCGCCTCCATGTAGTCGTGTCCTCTTTTTGGGGATTCAGAATATGGTCACCCAAGGTTACATTTCTGCTGTCTTCTTGTTACTTGGAGCTCTTTTGGTAAATGCATGATATTGTAAGTATCGTTATCTCTCGTGACGATGTTCTTGCAGTCCACCGAAACAGACTTGCTCTTACCTTCGCCATTTCAAACCAGCGTTCGTGAGGGAGAAAAGAAGTGTCTGAGTGGAAATATTCTGGGGGCAGAGCAAACATCGTGGGCGGGGTCACCAACCTGGAGGGGAGAAGTTATCACCGTCCATGACGTCATGGCAGACGAGTTTCAATCTGCCTGTTTGAGCAGACATTTTCTGAAGGGTGGGACAAGAAAGAGAGGGAGAGGATAGAAGTTTCTAATTTTGGTTTGTAGGCAGGCTGAGGATGTATTTTATTATTAGAAAACCATTCTAAAGTGAATTTTGCTTAATATGGGACCTTTAAAGTACAACAGTATCTTGACTTTCACCCATTTTTCTCACTTTTGTTCCCGTTTTGCACTCGTTTTATGACTTCCTTATGAATCTGTCTTGCCTTTGCAGTGCAGGACAATGACTATAGCCAGTCTTAAGAGAGCGAGGAAAGCAGCTGATGCTGAGTTGTAAAAGCCACTGCTCCCTCAACTCTGCAGTGTGTGTGTGTTTATGTGTGTGTGTGACGTTCAACAGTCTTAACTCTCCTTTTTTTATAATTTTGCCAAATCCTGTTTTAGAAAGCCGAAACCGTCTTATGCCACACTTTATTTGATGCTTGTCTGAAGTAGAAACTGAGTAAGAATGCCAATTTTCTGAAGTGTGAATGACCTGAAAGTGAATCGTTAATCTCATTATCATGGCGTCGTCATGTTCTGGTGCAGTAAATTTAGATCCAGGAACCTTTTTGTTAGTCCTGCCTGAGCGGATCGAGACCTCAATCTGGATGTGGACTACAGTTCCATCAAAAAAGTCTGAATTTGAGATCATTTGTGCCTCTATTTTTCTGTCTGAGAGTGTCAGAAATCCTGTTTTTGATTTTGTATCGTCTCGCCTGTTGATTTAAAGCCACAATGTCACTCTTTAGTTCAGTGAAGCTAAAACAAGCCATGGTGTATTTACCAAAGAGGATTAGGGCCACAGGAGGAGAAACAATAATTACAGAAGGGAGATTTTCTTTATTTCCGTTTAGAGATTAAAGTCAAAATTTAAAAAGTAAAAATTTGGAGACTAAAGTCGAAATTTAAAAAGTCAAAATTTCGAGATTAAAGTTGTAATTTAAAAAAAGTAGATATTTCAGTTTTATTAATGTCAACTTTAATCTCGAAAGTTAATTTTTTGTATCTCAAAATTTCGGTAGTATTCACAACATTTTGTAATCTCAAAGATTCAACTTCAGTCTCAAAATTTTAATTTACTAAATCATAACATTTAAACTTTAATCTCAAAATTTAATTTTTTTTTTAATCTCGAAATTTTGACATTATACACGACATTTTGTAATCTCAAAAATTGGACTTTAATCTCAAAATTTCGACTGAATCTCAAAATTGTCTTTTTTTGTAATCTCGAAATGTCAACATTAGTCATGATATTTTAAAATTTTCTAATCCCAAAAATTGGACTCTAATCTCAAAATAAGGACTTCAATCTTGAAATTAATTTATTTTTTAATCTCAAAATTTCGACATTATTCGCAACATTTTGTAATCTTGAAATTTCAACTTTAATCTCAAAATTGTAATTTGCTTAATCTTCAAATTCTGACTTTAATCTCAAAATTTTTTAATTTTTTTTATCTCGAAATTTCAACCTTCGTCATGGCATTTTGACATATTGTAATCCCGAAAATTGGATCTTAAACTCAAAATTTTGACTTTAATCTTGAAATTTGGACTAACATCTCCTTCCTGTAATTATTTTTTCCTCTTTTTTTCTCTCATCCTCTTTCGTATTTATTTGTTTTCAAATGATAAGAAAGCAGGAGGATTATTTGTCAAAGTGCCCAGTTTTTTTGTACCATAATTGTTTACTTAATTAAACTTAAAATTAAGTTTACTTAATTTTTGCAGCGTTGTGTCGGTGTGATGTTCATGAATATGTTGTGTGTTTATCTGCTTTTTTGCTTCCATGTGATGGATCTTGAGGTGAAAAACGAAAGGCTGAACTTCTCTTTTATTCGTCTTTCTGCTGCCACATCCCCGGCTCCAGTCCGGTTTTCTGTCCTCTCGATTGTGTCTGAGCCACCTATTTATTTGATCTTAAAAAAGGGTCTGGAGACCACTCTTCTGTTTGTGTCTAAATATGAGAGTGCCTGCAAAAGTAATGTCTGAGTATGTGTGATGTTTTAAAGCTGAAGGATTTTTTTTATTAACGTATAGAAACATGTACAGGATGGGAGGGGAGGTGAAGCACTTGTTCATCTTCAGTTCTTAAAGTTGTCATGGCTTGTCTGTGCTCAGACCGACAGAGGAGTTTATCGTTCATTCTCACACGATCAGCCTAATCAGCGAGCAGGCGGAGAGTACACAGGAAACTACTGTAAAGATGATAATGTTGTTTTTTTTGTTTTTTTTTTTTATTTTATTTTAAACTCTGAAGTGTAAAATAACTTTTTGACTCTCACTATATTTAATTAAAGTTCTTTCCTCTCTGTGAAAAGGTGTCGGCTTTCAGTTCTGTCGCTCGTCACTGTCACTCAGCAGAGGTTCAAGTGAGGGAAGATGCAGCGTCGCAGATTTCGGCGGAGGATATTCTCGTCTGTCTCTGCAGGGGGGAGTCAGTTTATCTCAAAGATTCAGCTCAACAATGTTCTCGCTGTGAACTTTATGTGCTCAAGTTTTCATCATTTTAAGTTCCTTTAATCGCTGACGTTAACTTCAGTAATTTTGTTTTAAGACCCAGACAACACAATGTGATCGTTGAATACTGAATCATGAGGGTACTGAACAAGTTTGGAAGATCATAATTAGATTTCTTACGAGAGTTGCAATCCGCTAATGCACACGGTTGTTCTGCGATTGTCCTCTCTACTTCGCTGAGTCTGGCGTGCAGAGTGCGGCTCTGAGGGCGGAGCTTGGATTTGTGACACAGGAAATCTCATTTTGTCTGAGCATGCCGTTTGGCTCTGCCAGAGATTCACAGCAATTTGAACGCAGAAATGCAATTTTGCACTTATTTTTTCTCAGTATATGTCCTGTAGCATCAGAAAAATGCTGTATGAACATGTAACAAGAAAAACATGATTTTCATCAGAGTGGGTCTTTAAATGAAAACTCCAGAGAGGATGCACACAAGCTAGGCTGCATTTTTTTTTGCAAATTCTTTCACATTAGAAAAAGGTTTTTGGTCCTTAAATGTCTTAAACCACAAATTATGGCCTAAAAATTTACAATTTTTTTGGAACTAAAATATTTATTTCACTTACTGATGAAAACCCAAAAAATCAAAATGTCCTTAAAATTTTATAAATATATTTATTTATCTCATTTGACACATTAGATGTTTTTGGAAACTGATAAACCACAAGAGGACATTTTAATCATTGATCAGACTGTATTCAGGTGTTTTTTTAGTAGTTTGTTGATCATATTGACTTGATAGAAGTATCGTAAATGTATATGATACAGAAGGCATTAAAGGGTCAGAAAAAAAGGCATACCTGGCAAAATTTTTTTGAAAAAGTAGAAAATAAAAGAAAGAAAGGAAAACGCAACACATTATTTTAAATTAAAGCTCCTGTAGGGAGTTTTGGGTAGTCATAAACCACACTGAAATTAACAGTCATCTGTCAATGTGATATTTAACAGCAAATAAAAAACACCAGTGTTGAGACCAACAATTTCTATTCTGTACTTTTTTAATACTTACAGTCACTGTGACGAGGATCGGTCTGCTGATGAAACTCTCTTTGTTATTTTTACGACTGCAAATTGTAACGTTGTGATAAATTTCTCTGTTAAAAGACAACAGGAGGAGATATTTTTTTGTTTATTAACATTTTCACAAGGACAAGACAAATAAAAGGGTTACTATGTTGTCCACAGGGGGCGCCAAAATCAACACAGACAGGAAAATCCCCACTATAGCTTTAATTAATTAGTACTGTTTTAATTGCTTGTTTTTTTCCTTCAACCTTTACTTATTCATGTAATATCCCTCATTCTCTCTGTACCTTTTCTTTCTCTTCCTCTAGTTTGTTTATAATTAGAGCACAAAAATGAAGCTGAAAAAAACTTATTCACAGACTTTATTTAGTTTTTTGTTCTTTGTTTCGTTTTGTTTCTCTCTTTGCTTGTGTGATATCTTATTGTTTGTCTGATTACTCATCCTCAAAGTCACTAATCATAATAAAATCCCCAAAATACAAAAAACAAAATGCATTAATCGACACCGACTTCAGTTCGACAACACAAAGAGAGCGATTGAACAAAAAAAGCAGATCTAAAACGAAAAAAAATCCAGGATGGAAAGAAAGTGACATTGCAAAATAATTTATTTGAAATGCGTCCCGTCACACTAAAGTCCTCATGACTTTTTTAAAAATTCAGCTCTTTTCCAGGAAAATCAATTAGTCTGAGGGGTCGATCGGTTTATGAAGTGTCATAAAAACTCAGATGGAGGTTCGTCTGTTTGTTCGACTCTTTCAATCTTTTATTTCTGCTCCACACTTCTGTCACTTCAAACTCTCTCTGCTGTCTCCAGAAGTGCTGATGTTGAGCAAGGAGACCGGCCCAGCCAGCCAGCAGAGTGGTCACACACACACACACACACACACGCACACACACTCTATATCTTTGTGTGTGTGGGGGGGGGGTTGAACAATACAAATTCTCCAGTGAGACCCGTTTCTGTAATAAGACAGATGGGCCCTGCCTGGAGTGAGCTATCGGCACAACTACAGGCAGTGTGTGTGTGTGTGTGTGTGTGTGTGTGTGTGTGTGTGTGTGTGTCTGTGTGTGATTGTGTGTGTGTGTGTGTGTGGGAAAAGGGAGAAAGAGTGTGTGAGGTGTTATTTTCCTGTTCCTAGCCTGCGGGCTTAATCAAAGAGGAGCCACAGATGTCTTATTGACACCAATTAGTTTCTGTCTCATGACACACACACACATACACACACACACAAACAGACACACACACATGTGCTTGGATTGTAAACAAATTTTTATTTCAAAGAGTGATATAAACTGAGTTTAGGATTATTTATGATTGTGATAGATTAGCTGAGGAATTCTCTCGAGTTGTTTGAGCGCCCAAAGCGCACATCCACACTTCATAAAACACACTCTGCAACTCTCTGTGAGTGAGAGAGAGAGAGAGAAAGTGTGTGAGTGTGAGTGTGTGTGTGATAATACCAAGTGTGAGGAGACAGGACTGAAGACATCCATTAGCTAATGGATCTCTCCTCTCAATTTTTTTCATCTTTCTCTTTTTCTTTTATCCCCCTCATCCTCCCTCCATCACCACATCACACTTTGGGTGCACTTAACCCCATCAGGAAAAACACCACACACATGTACGCACACATACGCACGCACACACACTCCTTAATCCCTCCTCCTTCAGTTTGATCCTGAACCGTCATGTACACAGGTTAGACTTGCACAGGTTTGAGGGTTTGAGCCGCTCATAGACCAGTTTCAGGATCTCCACCGTCAAGTTGCACAAATGCAGGCGTTGCTGTTGTTGTTAAAAGTGACAACAGATGAAGATTTTAGGAATGATTTAAAGGTGCAGTGTGTAAAATTAGGAAATTTAGCAACATCTAACGCCTCCTCACCATCTCTCCTGATTGAGCTAGAGTTAGTGTTTTGTGTTTTTTTTTAACCTCTTTTTTTATTTACTGTCTTTTATTATTTGAGTTTAACCCCCAATTTCCACCAGATCCAGAACAGCTACGAAAAGGTCGTATCAGCCGATCGTAGCTGATCGTAACCATTCAGGTTATTGTGTCAATTTCCACCGGCTTCATTCTGTTCCGCCATGGATCGCCGAATTCCGCAGCTGATCGCAAGAGTTCTATTTTTTCTGGACGGCGGAGCATGCTGGATAAATTCAGCACAGATTAACCCGTGCTTTAATGGAAGTCGGGCACAGACACAAAATAAAACATCCGGCTTCTTTTCAAAATAAAACACTCCGCGTTTCAGGCAGATCGCATTTCACACCATGCAAACGGGCGGAGACGAACAAATGAAAGGTTTTTAGACGTCATTTTACCCCGATGACACCATGGATGAGGAGATGCTGATTCTAGAAGTCTAGAAGTAGATTTCCTCCTCTGGAAGGACACAATCTACTGCTTATATGGTTAGCCTATGTGGCTAAAGACAACTTGTTATCGCGCTCTTGAATGTGAATCCACGGGTTGTGAGTTCTCGCGATTACTGCTGTCTGTGATCCGCCACAAAATAAAAGGAAAATATCCGACTCGAGCAGCGCCCGGAGAATAAATATGAGGATGAGTGAGAGATGGAGAGTCGAGAGTACAAGGGCGTGTGGTAATGGGGTCTTCTCTTGATAGAAAGGTGATGTTTCTATATCATTTAACCATCAAGAGCTGACGAACAATGAATTTAACCCTGTGTGTGCTTCTCTATGTGTGTGCGTGTGTGTGTGTGTTTGTGTCAATTGAGCGAGGAGGGTTCGAGCTAAGTACCGAGGATGACACCCCCCACTGCCACTCCTGAACCACTTGTAACACACACTCTCACACGTACTCGTACCCACTCACTTAAGTGGAGGGTTTGAAATTGAGCTGGGACTTGGTACGAATACTCCAAACAATTATCTTTCTCTCCTGCGCCTAGTAATCCATTTTCCATGAATATGTTCACATTTGCCTCCTCCTCCTCCTCCTCCCTCTGTCCTCCTCCTCCTCTTCTGTTTCACATTCTCACATCCTTTATTCTCCTCCCTCACAGGTGACGGTGTCGCTCCCTTAAGGCCCTCAGACTAAATGTGAGAACACAGCCATAGATGTTGTTTACGACAGCAGGTACCGATCAGACATTATCTCTGCACTCCAACTGAAAATGTACATATGAAGGTGTATACAGGAGAAGGGAAGAAACAATTAAGTTTTGTTGGATTTAAAGAAGAAAAACTGGTCAATAAAATTAATCAATAACCTGATTCAAATACACCTTTTTTTACACAAAGACAGTGCCAAATCTGGAACCAGTTTGTTCTTTTTCTACTGCAAAAAAACTCCAGATTTAGAGTAGCACCGAGACAGAACTGCTAATGTCAGGAGCTAGGGGCGAGGTTGTCATGTCCAGAATTTATAATAATAATAATAAAAATAATGATAATAATAATAATAATATTAACTTTGTTTTAAAGCACTTTAGTTTTATAGTTTACAAAGATTGATAATTATTATGAGCCTCGTTTCTATGGCGATCATGGTCCTGAAGTGCGGTCTCCACAAAGTGAAGAGAAAAAAGAACAGAAAAAATCCGTTCACCCTAGCAGGTGCAGGGCTGCAAAAACATCGACCAATGGGAGCCATCCGTCCCGGACAGCTCCTATTGGTCAATCTCCTGCTCCGCCTCTCCATCCAATCACCTTGCTGCGGTGGAGAAAGCTCCGCCAGGATTTGGTCCTGAAAACAGACGCAGAGACAGCAGAGTTTTTGTTGAACAGGTCATTTCACCTTTTATCGTGGCACATGTTACATAAATAACTCTTATTAGTCTCTGACATGTCAACACTGAAGCTGTCCAGGCAGCTGCAGATGGCGCTCGCTAGCAGTGCTGGCATTTACCGCCGCTAGTCACTAGAAATCCGACATGGTGAATCCTATTTGAAGCTAGCGTAGGATCCATTGCCGGCCAGCTTCTTGCTCTGAGCTCAGAGGGGGTGTGTCCTGGGGAGAGTGATACAGGTTCAGGGGGGGAGTTATTCGTGGAGCACAGAGGGGAAAGGTTTGTGTGTGTGTGTGGTGTGGGGGGGGGGGGGACGCTTTTTCAAATCTTCCTCAACGGCTCAGTTTTTTCAGCTGCTTCTTCAATCATCAACCGTGACTTTAAATCATAATAATCAGATACAAACTACACAAGAAAACATCAACTGAACATCAAGCAGAAACAAATACTAATTAGACTGTACACATAAAAACAGATCAAGATAAGAAAATGAAAAAAAATCGTAGCAGCAGAATAGTTTTTATGAATGACATGGAAGCAGTGATTGGATGAATGACTGTTCCCGGTCAGCTGTTATCCTCTGGGAACCATGAATACATTAATCCAATTTCAATACAATCCCTCTCTCGCTAATCTGTAGAGAATAAAATGCATTTATTCATCACCTCAGACCTAAAGTGGTCACATCATGACTTACCGCCACATGACCTCATCACTCACAGCCAGGAAGTTGAGATTATCAACAAGTTGATGATTGTTGATGATGTCATCCTCACTTCTGATTTGCCTGCAGGTTGATGATGTCGCTGTGTGGATGTGATGTGTGATCTCATTGGTCCACTGGGAATAACTCCTGTTCCCCTCATGACCACACACAACACTTGACCCTTATCCAGGACCCGTGTTAAAGACAGAGAGCGCAAAAACCTGGATGTGGTCTCAACGACTTCACAAACTGTTTTTCCGAAGAGGGTTGTCAATCCCAAAAATGGGAGACGCTAACTCCAACTGCCTTTGGAAATATCTGAAGTGATTTTTTTTTTTTTTCACTCTGGCGCTGTCTTCAATTTTCATCTCTGTAGGAGCATCTTGGTCAAAGTCCAGGTGTTCAAGTCAGACGTCAGGACTGATGTCTGTTTCCATTGCACTGACCAAATGTGAACTTCTGCATGGTTTCGTAAAAGAAATGCGGACAATATTTCTTGTTTTATAGGTTCACTTTATTCAGATACGCAAGGCTTCTATTTTGGCGGATGTCGGAGCACGGCGCATCAATTCAGTGCAGCTTACAGGGTAAAATATCCGGTTAATTTTCAAAATAAATAAAGTCAATATATTGAAATGTTCTTAACTTGATAATAGGAGGCCAGGGTTGTGGGATGTGGGTGTTTATACACACCGCCGTTGATACACACCGATTGGCGGATCTCATTCTATGACTCCCGGGGAAACACACAAGAGCTCGTGAGATTTTGTCCAGTCTCGTGAGAAATATCGGTAATCTCGCGAGCACTTTTCCTCTGATGGCGGCGGGGGATCGGATCCGGTGGGTACTGTATGCTTGCGGATCTGATCCGCCTGCTGTTCCGGAGCGGAGCGCCACCGTTCTGGATCCTGTGGGTTTAGCCAGTCAGTAAGTCCACACGACACAAACTCAAAACTTCCATACACAACCCCGGACATTTGAAGGATTTTATAAACTCCCCCAGACAAGACCGAACAGCCCCCAAAAAAGAGGACATGTCCAGGGAAAAAAGGACGTATGGTCACCCTACCGTGGGGTGACGTCTTCATCTGGTACCTACACTGTTCAGGAAGAGGAGAAACTACCGTGGCGTAAACAGCTAAAAAAAGATCACCTACTGAGACTCTAATGGAAGAATCAGATAAAGTTTTAGACCTGCTAATCTCACCGGATGACCAGCTCAGGCCAAAAGTCTTTCTAAGTCTTCCAAACAAAACACTTTCCCCTCTGCAGGAAAACGTAAACCTCATCAGTCCGTCTCTCCGCTCAGGATTTAATCAGGACCGCCCCCAGTATAAAGTGATTAGAAGGGCAGATGTAGGATTGTGACCCGAGTCCACGCTGAATCACTACTGTGTTATTTCAATCAACAATGAAAGTAGCAAAAACAGACCTGCATTTACGAGAAATATGTATCACTCTAACCTCTCAGGGCAGAGCTCACTCCCCCATCATGCTCTCTATCTGCTGAGTGTTGCTGTTGAACCCGAGCCAATTGTATAAAACCTCTGCCCAGTGAACCAAGGAGTGTGGGTGTTTCGTGTGTGTGCGCGTAACTTAACTCCTGATATTGGCTAATTTGTGAACATTTGAGCAGGGAGAACACACACGCACACACACACACTTACAACACGCTCACACACATGCCTCGTGTTTAAACAGTTTCTCAACACCACCCCTCAGAGCCCTGTGAAGCTCCATGCTGCCAGCTGAGAGCTCAGGCAGGAGGTTCTCGGCCTACGCTGACCCCCTCCACCCCTCCTGGGAGTTTTTTAGCAGAGAACCTCTGGCTCCGGCGCGTAACACCGAGCGCTGCGCATGGTTTGATCTCCTGCTGCTGTAAACACACAAACACACCACCAGGGATCGAACAGTTATCAATAGTTCATTCGCTGCCGTGGACTTTAACCCCCAGATACGATGCTGCAGTCAGGCTTTCTCTGGCGCATTACTTTGTCTAAAAATAAGTTTTGATATTCTTCGGCTAAATTGTGTAATTTTGATGAAAGCTTGACAACTTTTTTAATAACTTTCAGCTTGTTTGGCTGTTGAAAATTACTTAATTTGCATGTATCTGAGCGGCTGAAGGTTTTGTGTTGTCTTGCCTAATTTACACAAATAACTCGCTCATTTACATGCTGTGTTGGATTAATTTATGATGGAGATGAGGGTTTTCTTTCATGCTATTTCATCAAACATGGTTGGGGTTAACTACACTGTAAGGATTTGTCGTGCCAGACAATAAGACCTCCTCACTTATTCTTCCCCAGGGTTATGAAGCGTACCGCCATGGTCAGTTTGTCCTCCATTTTATCAGATAACTGGACCTCCACAGATCTGTTGTTGACAAATGTCCATGTTAGCTGGTCGACTGATTCACTGGAGATCAGTTTTTACAGCTCTTGCGTATAGAAATGGTAATAAGAGTCGCACGTTGAAAGCAATTCGCGATGTGTCTTACTTGACATATAATTTATTTTATCCAGATTCTTAGATCTTGAATCTGAACATTTCAGTGCAAACTTTAACATCTGTGACAAAATGTCTGTGTTTGACTGTCTGGGTGTGTGTGTGTGTGTATGTGTGTATTTGTGTGTATTACAAAAGCAGATAAAGTTAAAAGCTAAATTATTAGATTGACCTGCAACAATACTTAAAAAAATCTGTATGATACAGGTCTGCGCAAGATAACAATGCAGTGACATTTACAGGGTCATGAATATGTTCTATGAGACCCAATGCAAACACAGCTAGCTCACAGGAGGCAATATTTTTTTTATAGGACGGTAGGAGAAAGTCCCGCCTCCTTTGCCTCTGATTGGCTAGAAAAGCTGCAAACGTTATCACACACTCAAGTCAAACGCAGGCTGTCAGCTCTGTACATCAAACACAATCTATCTATCTATCTATTTATCTATCTATCTATCTATCTATCTTAGGGTGACCATGTGTCCTCTTTTTGGGGGCTGCCCGGCCTTGTTCGACTTTGTCTGGGGAAGTTTATAAAATCCGTCAAATTTCTGCGGTTTTGTACGGAAGTTTCTTGGTTGTGTCACGTGGACTTACTAAGTTAGAAGCGCATAAAAGACACTTCATCCGACTGAAAATAACCTTCAAAATTAACTTTGTGCGAATCCGTGATTCAGCCCGGCATAGTCGTGTCCTCTTTTTGGGAAGTCAGAATATGGTCACCCTAATTTACCTACCTACCTACCTACCTAACTAACTAACTAACTAACTAAGCCAATCAAATTCAAACTCCACCCCCTCAGGAATAAAACCAGTACCATAGTGGTATAATTACAGTGATCAGAGTATGATTTTGGTCAAAGTTAGAGCTTTTGTGCAGGATTGATTTTTGCGCTTCCTTCGCATAAGAAGTATTGTTTATAACTTTAATAATTTCATCCTGTAAATGTAAAAGTTCATGTACAAAAATCTTTTTTTCTGATGTCTTAGAGTTCGCTGTTAATCTTTCCCATATCAAAATAAGACATGTAAGTGGTCTGCTCACAGCTGCTAATTTGTCTGGTCAGACTTTACAGACAAACACGGTGGGAAAAAAGTAAATGAACTCCTAACGCATGTTTTATTCCTGACAAGAGAGCTTTAACTCACTGCACTCATCACCTGATCTGAACACACATACACAAAAATGCTGTTTTTACTGCAGATCAACACTCAGCTTCATGACAGCGTGAGCACTTATTACTTAGCACACACACTCTCCCACACACACACACAGAGTCAGGTCCACCCAGGTTGTTTTTCTAAGGGGTGTTTATGTAAAGGAAGCTGGATCCTGAAACCCGCTGCATACTTCACATTTATGAAGGCTGGAAACGGCCTGACTGCTGATATGATTACAGCGAGAAGCAGGCAGGAAAACGCTCTGACATTCTCATATGGAAGCCATTATCCTTTCTCTACACATCACTTTCTCTCTCTATTTATCTCTACCTTTTCTCTTCCAGCAGCTCCCCCAACCTCCGAGTCTTTATCTCTGATTCTCTACTCGTTTCTTTCTCTCTTTCTCACATGCTGTTTGTGTTTTTGGGGCAGTTGCTCGTACGAACGGCACGCATATGAATCCGACGCCTGCTGTGAATTGTTGTATTTCATCACAAGCGAGGCCCACAAATGTACACACTCACAAACACACACACACACATGTGCAAACACACAGTAAAATGGTTTGATTAACTGCAAGTTGGCCTGACTTTCCTCTTTGGATCAGCCGCAGTGTTAGGCATTAAAAACCCATAACTCACTATTAACACCCAACCAGATCTCTTTATATGTGTGTGTGTGTATGTTAGTGTGTGTCTGTGTGTGCCTTTCTCATAAGCCCCCTCCACCCATCAATGCACTCCCAAATGACATCAGAAGAGTGAGGAGTGAGAACACACTGCATGACTGACAGAGACCAGGACAGAGGAGGGGATGAACCCTGAAACCGGCTTGGTGTGTGTGTGTGTGTAAGAGAGAGAGAGAGAGATCTCGAACGCCCTGGATGTTGTAATGACACAATCATTTCTGGCCGAGCAGAGTTGGTGAAGACACACAGACACACACACACACACACTGACACTGTGATCCGCCCTGCCTGACTGCAGCTCCGTTTCCAAACATTGCATCAAATTCCCAGAAATATGACAACAGTAACCTGAGGAGCCAGAGAGAGTCCATGGCTGACCTCTGAGTCCCCCACAGACCGAACACTTATAAAACTGATATTTTAACCCATGTAACATTAACGTCTCTGTTGTGGATGGTCAAAACTCCTCAAATATTAATACATCCAGATAATTTAACACCCAAGAATAAAGGAACAGCCCTGCAAATACATTCAACATGGTATAAATTCATTATTTCTTCAGGTTCACTTGTTCTTAAATCAGTCGTTTATTCACACCTGAGGGTAAGAAAAGGTAAGATTTACTCACAGTTTTTGTTGAATCTGTACTACACCGAACTCTGCCACTGCTTTGTGTTCATCTTAACTGTGATGACAACTTATTAGACATGTTGTGTTGTAATTTAAGGACCTGTCTTTTTCTCTTTGTAAGTTAGTTGTGTAATCTTCCCCTTAAAGCTGCTTTGAGGAGCGTTTGGTCTGTGTTGATATTGGCGCCCCCTGTGGACAAAGTGATACCTCATATCTGTGTTCCTGTGAGAGCATGTGAGAGTTCTGTTGTTAGACCAAAATCAGTGAATTTCATAACTGACTCAGTATTACTGCCTCAGTTTTTCATATTAGTCTGCCAATGCAACTTTGAACTTTGGGTGCAAATAATCTTGACAGTGATTTTTCTTCCCCATAATATTAAAGGGATATTCCAGCGTAAATTTAAGTTATGGTCAAACACACCGTAACACAGAGTTAGACACCCGCTCAAGAGATGTTGCCGACTGTTTGCTTCTCTAATTATACCAACTTTAGTAACGACCGCACGATAGCAATACACAGCGGTCTACATCTCCATGCAACCAGACATCAATCAAAACACAGCTCTAACTAACTTCATCAACAGGACATATACGGTCCCAGCCATAGTACTAGCCATCAAACATTTTTTTAACTTTGACTAATTTCTTTAGCAAAAAGACTAAACACAACTCACCTACTCTCTACCAGCAGCCGCTTGTTTGTAGAGAGACACTGGGCCAGTCCATTAAGGACTACAGCGGGGTGACGCAGCTCAAGGAAGAACAATTATGATCATTTCTTCATGTAAATACCCTAGTACTAGACCCCAAACATCTTTTTGACTTTGCCTGGTTTCACCGAGTGCAGTGGATAATTTCTTTGAAGTGCGGCAGAGTTTCGCAGCTCAAGGAAGAACATTTATGATCATTTCTTCACGGAATTGCAATCAGACTGAGACACTAAAGCAGAAGAACTACCACGTCTGCAGTGTACATACAAGATACACAAGAACTCTGGTTGCATTTCCATGAAGTAATAATCATAAATGTTCTTCCTTGAGCTGCGAAACTCCGCTGCACTCGGTGATCGACTCGTCAGGGCTTCCCCACAAACAAGCGGCTGCTGGAGGAGAGTAGGTGAGTTGTGTTTAGTCTTTTTGTTAAAGAAATCAGGCAAAGTTAAAAAGATGTTTGGTGGCTAGTACTATGGCTGGGACCCTATATGTTCTGTTGATGAAGTTAGGTGCTGTTCTGAGCATTATTTGTGGCTATAGAGTGGCGTTTTGGTTGAGGTTTGCGCGTGGAGTCGTAGACCGCTGTGTATTGCTACCGTGCGGTTGTTACTAAAGTTGGTATAACTAGAGAAGCAAGCGGTCGGCAACATTCATCTCTCGAGGGGGTGTCTCACTTGATGTTATGGTGTGTTTGACAATAACTTAAATTTACAGTGGAATATCTCTTTAAGAACCTTTCTGATTTTGTGACTTCTCGGTTTTTCTTCTCAGTTTTATAAAATGGCAAAAATGTTGTATGACAAAAACACTAATAAAAGTACAGTGAACCCTAAGACTCAAAGCTGCATGGACTGATTTATTGTACAGTGGTTCCTTTGAGCGCACGAGCTACAGTAGACAGCAGAGTTTTTTTAGCAGTTTCAGTTTCTGGTGAATAAAAATAGAGGAACAGGATAAATGCTGCTCTTGGTATAAAGACAGATATAAATGCACTTCACATGTAAGTAAAACCTGAAGCCTTTATATAAAAACATGCTGCGGCCTGTTTGTCTCCCATAAATAGAACAGACCAGGGCCTATTTAGGAAAACTTTCAAATCTGCAACACAATAGTCTGAGGTCTACCACACATCAGCAGCAGCAGAGAGGAGCAGGAGGTAAAGAGAGGCAGACTGTGAGAGAGGAGACAAGTGAAGAAACAAAGAGGCTAAATAAAATCAAATCTGGCTCACAGAGGGGTCATATGTCTCCTGGACATGTAGGTGTCCCCGGAGTCTCGCATTGTTTGACTCCTGCGGTTACAGCTGCAGAGCTCGGTTCTGGTTTGGGTTAGGTCTGATATGTAACTCTTTTGAAAACATTGGCACTGCAGTGGGACAGCCTGGGAATGCGGTGGGGAAAACACAAGAAAAATGAACTGAGAAATGTCCGTTTGTTTGTTACAGAGAAAGAAAAGGAGCGGAAAAACCGAGTGAGTTCATCTTAGGAGAAAGTTTGAGGTTTTACACATGCTGTCCTCTCGCTGGGTTTGCACACCCGCGCTTTTAAGTGAAGAAATGTGTTTGTCGGTGAACAGCCAGCCTGAAAAGAAGGCGGGTTTTTCCTCCTCCCTGTGGTGTGATTGGTGGTTTGCTGTCCCTGCTGATGGATTGATGGAGGCTGAACTCCTGCAGTTGGTTGAAAGGTTAATTCATCATTCACCTGTCCAGGTGCACTGTAGACATTTACTCTCTCTTCACCTCATCTAACTTCTCACCCCTCCTCAAATTTTCTTTCCTCTCCTCTTCTTTCTTTTCCACTTCTTGCTTTTCCAACAGTGACAGCACACTCAAATATACTGTACACGTCACTCCTTAAATAAGAGTTCCCTTATATTTTTCCAGATCATATGTATGAGGTCCTTTAAAATCCTGTTGTATTTATATCATGGTCTCACAGGGAGAGACATTAACTGTTTCTACTATAAAGCTCCTGTGAGGAATTTTCAGACTTTCATCGATTGTAATGCCTCTCTATGATCTGCAAAATCAGAAAAACAAAAACAAGGATTTCTTTAAGTAACGTTAAATCCTTGTAACTGCTGCCAACAGATGTATCAGAGAAGTGGGTTACTGTAAACCGCCATAGTAGCCCGTGTTAACATTTCCCAACATATATCTAAAAGCAATGATTGGGGGGGTTCAATGAAAAAGAATGAACAAGAGTTTTGGTCAAAACTTGAACAACTTTAAAGTTCCTCATGGGAGCTTTAACGAATGTCTTAACAGGCGTGAATACGGCACGACTTTAAAGGCACTGTACAGAGTTTTTAACAGAGTTTAAGAAATCTAATACTGTTACCTAATCGTGGCAGAGTATGAGATTATCAGCAACAAGACCAGTTATTTTCCTGATTGACCTTCATCCCAAAGATTTTATGTTCAGAACTCTACTGGTTTTGTGAGTAAAATAGAAAGCAGGATGTGTTTTAAGTATTTTTACTTCAATGAAAGGTTTTCCACTCATGGCTGATATTGAACCAGGACTGGCAATAATATACGTTTTCTGTTATGTTAAGTTTTATGTCATTTTATGTTACACGGTTCTTGTTTTGTTTGGGTTCCTAATGACATGAAAATGGCCTTCAATTCCGTTTTAACTGAGCTTTTTGTTTTTATCTGTCTTTTTCTATGTGCTTTAAAAGTGCTATACAAATAAAGTTATTATTACTATGATTATTAAGTAACAGGTTAGCACAATGGGTCTATTTGAATGTGAATGCTAGCTTGTGAGTGGTTCAAACTGTGTGTATATTCATGTTATTAATCCCACTCTGATCAATTTTTTTAAACTGTGTTAAAACTATCTTTTTTTTAAGTGTTCTCAGTAGTCGTTAAATAGTGATTATGAGGTTTTTTTTCACCAAAATCACGTTACCTGTGTCATTTTCAAGGACCTTTCTTCTGCAGAGCTCCAGTAGCTCATTAGCAATTCGCCTCTGAGTTGTTGGTGGAGACAGCGCTGCTCTGCACACTCCTCTTCACACTAGCTTGTAGCCTGACATTGCTGGTGCAGCAGAACTAATCTATTCAGCTCTCGGACACTATTGTCTTTGGGGACATGATGAAAGTTAATATCATAATTAGCTTTCTTACGAGCAATCGTCCTCTCTACTTCTCCAAATCTGGCCAGCAAAGTGGGGCTACGGGGGCGGAGCTTGGAGTTGTGATGTAGGAAATCTCACTGTGTCTGAGCCTGCCGTTTGCTTCGACATCATCTGCAAAAATTTTACTACTTGTGTCCAAAAGAAGTCACCAGAATCAACACAACATGAAAGTTCCCCACAGTGCCTTGAAGGTCCACAGGAATATAATAAAAGTTTGTTCTTATTGTCTGTATTTTTGAAGTGACCCCCCTGAGCACAGAGATCTGCACTAGAAGACTGGTTCTGGTAACACCTTCTTACTTACACTCAGTTTGAGTCTTGAAATGCGATCAAATTAAGCTCAAATGTACAAAGACATTCAGGTTTGTCCAATCACAGCAGGACGTCCTTGAATGTTAACTTAAACTGTGTGCATATTCTGTGTATCTGGTGGTCGTAGATGTCAAGGGCATACAACTCAGTGCAACAGATACACTATGACGCACCAGTGGTAATGCACATGACTAATAGGATATGTTGTTTCCTTGATACAATTTGCCTTGCAGTTATGTGAACAGAAACACCCAAGGTTGCATTGCAGGAGTAACTTTTCTTTTTGGCTTCGAATCATGAGAAAAGTTTCCTTTTTTTGCTCATGGGTTTGAAATTATTCTACAATATAAACACACAGAAAAGAGGTACACAAAAAACCCACAACATTCAGCCGTTTTCTACAACCTCGTCTTCCTCTCTCTTCATCACCCTCTTGCCCTTTCACCCAGCGTTCCCCTTCACTTCTTGTCTTATTCAATAGATGTTGTAAAACAGTGTGCTCTGTTGGTGGTGGTCCAGAGGAAACCACCTATCACACACCCACACAAACACCGACATATGCGCACGCTGACACACACTGTGGGGTGGTAATCCAACTTTGTGTGAACCATGTGGAAGCCATTGCCGTGTAATCTGTTGTAATTGTGTTGTATTTGAGAGAGAGCTGGTCTACATTACCGCCTTCATTACCATATGTGCATGCCTGTGTGTGTGTGTTTCTGTGAGTGTGTGTGTTAGACATACACAGAAGAGTGAAGTAAAGTGAGAAAGTGATGAAAATGGAAAAGGTTTCTTGTAAAATGAGGCGGAATTGTAAACACACACGTGAAACTATTTACAGTTTTTACCCCCAGTCTCAAATCTCCACGTCACTCCTGAATGAAACAATAACCTTCATGTAGAGCGCTTTTAAACATGCCAGTGATCATGTTCTTTCTTCACAGACTTACACATTAACAGGCTCATGCACACTAACCTAACCATCATTACGCTCACAGAATGAATAATTACACTTAATGGACTGGAGGCTGCCGGCATGCTGGACGTAAATGTAGCGTGTCTTAGACCTTAGTCTGAGGAGTTCACCTGCAAACAAGCTGAGCTGAACTGTGTAATCCACATTGTTTGGATCGAACGGTAATTCAAAATGAAGAAAAATAAGAGAATAAGTGACCTCTGAATGTTCATGTCATAATGCTAATACATGGTCTAATTGTAGAAGTACAGTTCAGTAAGAGTTTCATCCCAACAGCCATCGCCGCAGTAAACAAGCTTAAACTGCCTCACCGCTAGGATGGTCTCTGTGTATTCTGGGGGAGGTTCTCATGGCCTGTCCTTGTAATATGTTTTGTGTCATATGGTATGTGTTGTCTGTACTCCTGTTTTGTGTTTGAATAAGACCTGTGAAAGCAAATTTCCCCCTGGGGACAATAAAGATTATTATTACAACTCTACAATAATGTGAGTGGTGTGATAAGTATAATAAAAGTTTTTTTCAGTCAAATTTCAGTATGAAAAAAAATTGACATATTGATATGATAAAAAGGTCATGGTATAGAATGATACAAATGTCATTGTATAGTCTGATAAAAAATATCATAGTATAGTCGGATAAAAAAAGGTCATATTATACTATGATAAAAATGTCAAATTTGAATATGAAAAATAGTCATAGTGTAGTATGTTCAAAATAGTATAAAAGGTCATAGTATGCTATGATAAAACTAAAACAAATTTTAATATATAAAAAACATTGTATAGTCTGACAAAAAAATATCATAGTGCAGTATTATAATATAGTAAACTATAGTATACTACGATAAAAAATTCACATTTTAGTGTGAAAAAAAGTCTTCATACAGTATGTTAAAAATATCATAGTATAGAATGATAAAAAAGGTCATAGTATACAATGATAAAAATGTCAATTTAAGTATGAAAAATAGTCATAGTATAGTATGTTTGAAATATTGTATAGAATGATAGAAAAAAGTCATAGTATACTATGATGAAAAAAATTTAAATTTTAAAATTAGAAGTCATTATTTAGTCTGATAAACATATACTATAGTGATTAAAAAAAGGTCATAGTGTACTATTTTAAAGTTTCAAATTTAAATATAATGAAGTCATAGTATAGTCTGATGAACATAACATAGTATAGTATAATTAATAAAAGTCAGTATACTATGATAAAAATGTCAAATTTTAGTATGAATAAGAGTCATAGTATAGTCAATCAAAATATCATTGTATAGAACGGTAAAAAAAAGTCATAGTATTCTATGATAAAAATTTCAAATTTGAATTGAAAAAGTCAGAGTATAAGTCTGATAAAAAATATCATAGTATTGTATGATAAAAAAGGTCATATTTTACTATGATAAAAATGTCAAATTTAAGTATGAAAAATAGTCATAGTACAGTATGTTTAAATAACATAGTATAGCATGATCAAAAAAGGTCATAGTATACTATTATAAAATTTTAAATTCTAATACAAGAAAGTCATTGTATAGTATAATAAAAAAACATCATAGTATAGTAAAAAAAAAGGTCATTGAATACTTTGATAAAAATATATAATTTTGGTATGAAAAAAGTCACAGTATAGTCTGTTCAAAATATCATTGTATAGTATTATCAAAAAAAGTCATAGTAAACTGTGATGAGAAATTCAAATTTGAAAATGAAAAAAAGTTATTGTATAGTCTGATAAAAATATCATACTATAGTAAGATAGATAAGGTCATAGTTTACAATGCTAAAATTTAAAATTTTATTTTAAAAAAGGCATAGTATGGTCTGATAAAAAATATCATAGTATAGTCTGATAAAGAGGTCATAGTATACTATGATGAAATTGTCAAATTTCAGTATGAAAAATATTCATAGTATAGTATGTTTAAAATATCATGTATAGAATGAATTAAAAAAAATCATACTATGATGAACAATTCAAATTTTAAAATGAAAAGAAGTCATTGTATATTCTGATAAAAATATCATAGAATAGTATGATAAAAAGGCCATACTATACTATGGTAAAAATGTCAAATTTTAGTATGAAAAGTATAGTATGTTCAAAATATCATTGTATAGAAAGATAGAAAAAAGTCATACTATACTATGATGAAAAATTCTGATTTTAAAATTAAAAGAAGTCATTGTATAGTCTGATAAAAATATCATAGTATAGTATGATAAAAAATTTCATAGTATACTATGATAAAAATGTCAAAATTGAATATGAAAAAAGTCATAGTTTAAGTCTGATTAAAATGTCATAGTATAGACTGATAAAAATGTCATAGTATTGTATGATAGAAAAAAGTCAGAGTAAAGTATGATGAAAAATTCAAATTTTAAAATGAAAAGTAGTCATTGTATAGTCTGATAAAAATTTTATAGTAATAAATGTTTAAAAAAAAGTCATAGTATACTATGATAAAAATTTAAAATTTTAGCATGAAAAAAGCCACAGTGTAGTTTGTTCAAAATATCATAGTTTAGTATGATAAAAATGGCACAGAATATACTGTTGAAATGTCACATTTTAGTAAGATAAAAGAAAGGAAGTGTTGGCTTTTACTTTGGAACCATAACTGAAGGGATGACATGAGAAAAGTGACAGGAGCACAAATGTTCACCACAATTGTCAAATTTATTTTGTAAACAAATCTTTAGCCATCGCAAAAATGTCAAAACAAGGAATCTCATGTTGGTTTTAATTACAATCATTTGAAATATTATACATACTATTTCCTCAACAAAACAGGAAAATTCATAGTGGATGGTGTGAAGTTGGCTCTAGCAACTCTTATGTAGATGAATCTTAACAGAAACTTTCTTTTGGGAAGTCCGGCCAACCAGCTTCCTCATCCTGGCTGCTCTGAGATCAGCCCTCCTGTGTGAATCCAGAGCAGAGCCTCCTGGTGGCATCACTCATAGAGCTGTGCACCAGTCAGCCCTGCCAATGCAGCCATGATGGATGCACTAAGTTCCTGGCTGCACACTCACCTCCATTCATCCTCAGGAGAGAGCAGAAGAGCAAGTGTGGAGAGGTGGAGGGGAAAAAAGATGGAGATGTAGGCATCAAGAGCCAGAAAGAAGAAGAAGAAACTGTCTCTCAGCACCCTGCTAGGAGTGAGATAAATAGGAAGAGCCGCCTGATCCACGAGCTGGTGAGTGATTGAGCTAATACCTCCTTCAATAGTTTTCCCATCACCTTCCTCTTCCTCACACAATCTTACTCCCTGTGTTTATTTATTTACCTCAGCAGAGCAGCGTGGGAGCCGAGAGGAGAGGTGATGAATGGAGCAGAAAGTCATACAGGGCAGAAGCAGCATTTGAGCTCCTTCCTAAGTATCTGTGTGCTGTTCTTCTATCCTTGTGTGAACCAGGTTTTTCAAGTATTGACATTTTTGCGAGGTGATGTAACTTTTGTTAGCCAGCACTCTCGGTGAGTTTATTGGGGTTTAAGTTTAGCAATGCGATTAGAACAAGCAGCAAGAACCGGGAGCCAAGTTCTGAAGCCAGCATGAAAACGGCTCCAGAGAAGTGGCTGTCTTGACGTCAGTGAGGAAAGACCCAAACTTTTCTTCCCTAGTGAAGTTGAACAAAGTGCAAAACAACTTGTGCTCTTTCTGGTGAATTTCTCCAGAACTGAGGAAGTACAGAGATGTTTGGTTCACAAAGTCAGGTCTTACTTTTGTAATCAAAATGCTATTGATAGGAAACAAGAAAACTGCCTGTTCTTCACTGTGAAAACAAGAGAAGAACAGTTTTGAAGTGATCGTTGTTTTACGACGACTTGAGACTACTTAGGTCAGACTGTAAATCCTGCAAAATTTGTTGACCTGACAAATTGTTGTCTGTTCTCCCTGATTGATAAGCAAAGGTGTAGTGGAAAACTGGAGACAAATCAGACCATATTTAAGTTAAAAAAAGACATACTCACCAGGACACAGCCGATGTTAGCACTCGACCATTCCTCATCAACAAATGTTTGCGAATTACAGATACGATGGGAAGGGTACAATGTCTGTACAAGCAAACCAATTGTTTTGGCGTTTATGTTTGGGTTGTCTATATTTCATCAACTAGTCGACAATACAGTATTTAGTCACACATGTTTGAAAACAAATTAGACGAAGAAGAGGAAGAAGAAGTAGCAGCTGATGACTTGCCAGTAAGCTTTTGGAGCTGGTGTTCAAGCTTTATTGTAAATCCAAAAACAACATTAGATCTTCTGCCTCTTCAGGTTACCAATCAATTGAACATTTATACTTTACTGTTTTTATTCAGTTCTGTTACTTACTATCAGAATTAGTCTACTGTAACTGTACCATGAATAAAGCATTTCCAAGCCGATCTGTTTTATTAATATAATACATTTTAAAAAACGTTCAAGTTTACCAAAGTGCTGCACAGTAAAATTAAAAGAACAAACGCTGCAGAAAACATCAACAGGAAATAAATAAAAGCAGGTAAAAAACATTTAAAATGAAATAAAATAAAAACACAAAAGCATCAAAGAAATAAAAGTGATAAAAGGGCAGAGATCACACAACTCTAATGCTGAGCTAAAAGCAAAGGAATAAAAATGAGTTTTAACATGTGATCTAAAAGTAGATCGAGTTGCAATTTGTTCCACAATTTGGGAGCCACAGGTTTTTAAACAAGTTTTAGGGACGACGAGTTGGAGCTGATCAGCAGACCTCAAGGAACATGGGGGGATATAAACATTTAAGATGTCAGAGATGTACTGTGGTGCTGATCCATTTAAAGATTTAAAAACAAACAATTAAATTTTAAAATTAATTCTAAAATGAATGAGAAACCAATGGAGGGGCGCCAGAATTGAGGTCATGTGATCACGTTTTCGTTTACTTGTTAAAAGACAAGCAGCAGCATTTTGGACGAACTGTAAGCATGTGAGAGAAGCCTGACTAACACCAACGTAAAGAGCGTTACAGTAGTCCAACCGTTTAGAAATAAAAGCATGAATTAAGCAATTTCAGCGCAAGACAGAAAATTATCGAAATAAGAGCATAACAACTTATTATTTATGTCTTTTCTAAAGAGGTTTTGGTCAGATAGTTGGTGATGAATCTTAATTTGAGAAAACTTAGATACCTAAGATGAGATAATTCAAGTATTTTTTTGAGTGTTGTGATGCTTTCCTCTGTTTTACTTCCAAGTTTTCCATGAATATTAAGATAATATCAGTATCATGAAGTGACTGAATACTTAAGTTAACCGTGTCCTGAAGTAAGTTTGCGTTCACAAATATCTTCTTTAACTTTATAATATACTTCCTGATGTTTCTGCCGCTTCTCCCTATCCATAGTCTTTGAGGGTGGTTATCAATTAGGGAGCAGGACTACAATTTGACAGCTAGTCAAGGCTTACACAACTTACAACCTCAAACACAGCAGTAAGACAGGATAACAAAATTTAAGCTTCCCACCTTGAACAGGAAGTTACATGAGGTCGGCCCCTGTGGGAATAAGCTCTGCACATTTGCACATTTCTGAGGGTGTAGGTGATGTCAATGAAAGCCTCTGAGAGTCCGATCTTCTCCAGGGCTGGACTGATCTGGAGATTGTCCAGTGAAGGCAACATAATGTTCACACTGGTTACCTGCCAACTCGCTGTTTTAGCTTGAAGGCTTGAGTGTTCGCTCAATGAAAATCAGACCTTCCATTAAATATCTTCACTTATTCTTCTAGGAACAGGAAAAACTGGAGTCTTTCCAGTGATTCTTTCGAGGTGGGTGCGATTCACGCTCAAGAGCAGCTCATCGAGGCGTTTGCTGATCTGTAGGTCAAAATCATTTGAAGCTGCCAACCGTTGTTACAAATCACCGTTGGAGAGTCAGTCTAAAAACACAATGATTAAGATGAGGTAGGATTTAGTCAAAAACACAAAAGGACCTGGTATTTTTAAAGGACCACTTAGTTGAAGTAAAGGAGGGGTTCCAATAATGTTTTAAGAGACTGAAAGTAAAAGTGACCTATCCCAGGTACCCGGCCCATCAATCAATCAATCAATCAATCAATCAGTCTTTATTTATATTTTACTTTTCATACACGACCATGTAGCACAAAGTACTTTACACAGAAAAGGAAATAAAAGAAACAAAAATACCAGAATCTACCCCAACCCAACCCCTCGTTCTCAGGGCAGATGCAGTCATTGTTTGAAACAGTACAGTAAGTTTTCTGATCCCTCCTTCCTTCCTCCTCTTCATCCCCCCGTCTCTCATCCTCACACCTTAAATGGAGATTTGATGCTCTGAGAGTTGAATCTCAGTTTGTTGCTCTGAACTGGCTGTTTTGTTTACAGAGTATTAAGAAGGTTAAAATGAATGTGTGATGTCTTTGTCTATCTATCCATTTTCTACCACTTATTCCCGTTGGGGGTTGGAGCCTATCTCAGTGTCTTCAGGCGAAGGCAGAGGACACCCTGGACAAGTCACCAGTTCATCGCAGGGCTGAGATATAGAGACGAACAACCATCCACGCTCACATTCACACCTACGGGCAATTTGAAAGTGGCCAATTAACCTAACCCCACTTCTATATGTTTTTGGGATGTGGGAGGAAACTGGAGAATCCCGAGTAAACCCACTCAGACACAGGGAGAACATGCAAACTCCACACAGAAATGCCCTGACCCGGATTCGAGCCCACGACCTTCTTGATGTGAGGCGACAGTGCTAACCACTACACCACTCTGTGTGTCTTTGTGCCTGTGCTAAATGTTTACATGAGCTTTGGTAGGGCTGGGCGATTAACTGAAAATTTACCAATACCGAAATTTACAACAATAACTGACGTCATTTTGCCCGTGTCAATATATTTGGTGTCAAAAAAATAAATAAAAGTTGGTTTTGGATGTGTGTAGGTAGGCTGTGGTCTCATGTCCCTTTAAGAGGCTGTCCTACGTCAGAGACGTGACTCCACCCCATCCAGTCCGTAACAAAGAGGGAAAGACAGGTGAGGAGATGGAGGACGGTTCAAAAGTTGTAGCGGCTGAAGTAGATGAAGTTAATGTGGGAGGGGGTGAGCAGCTTGTCAAGTAGTTATCGTCGATTTATCGTTACTGAGGTGAACTGATCAATAAATCGTGATATTGATTTGAGGCCATATCGCCCAGCCCTAAGCTTTGGTCAAGGTTACTGGTTAAGTTTGCTGGATTTATCGTGGGTTAAACAGTTTATGTTAAAGGATTACTCGAGATATATCCTAGAGAAGCGTATTGTCACACTACACAAAATACACACATATACACACACACAGGTATACACACAGTATGTCATTATTGTGTTGTTGGTTGCATCAGGGCGGAGGGACAAATAATGAATCAGAGCTGTGATAAGTTGAATTGACCCCCCTGAAACAGATTCTGCAGAGTACAGAAGCAGCACTTGATCTCAAACCCCCCTACACACACACACACATGCACACACTCAGTAGTTGGCCAGAGGTGACTGTGGCTGTTCTGTTTGACAACTAATGAAGCGGGCCTCAAAGACAAGATGCCACATGCTACCATTTTTACTCAGAACACACACATACACACACGCGCACGCACACACAAAGACGCACACTGCCATCCGTGACTCTGAATAACAATCACAACAAATGAAAGTGGCTTTGAGGGGGAAACTTTCCTCATTGTCTGTTTTAATTTGAGTCTTATTTAACGAGTCGAGAATCAAACGTCGGATAAGAGGGTGGGCGGCGGGCGAGGCATCGCGCAGAGACGACAAAAGACGCTGGGAGGGGGAGAAGAAGAAGAAAAAGACGACAGAGAGACATCAGACTCCATCAGTCTGAAAATAGAGCAGTTTTTTGTTTCATCCGACAGGGAGAGGTGTCGATAATTAGGCTCTGTCAGGTAGAGTGTGTTTGTGTGTTCATGCGTGTATGTGTGTATGTGCGTGTGCATGCAGAGTCCTCCTGACAGTATGTGCTGAGAGTACTGTAAATGCATGGGTAATGGTTGTCAGTGCGTGACAGCTATAAATGGCCCTTTAGTTCTCTTCTCTTCACTTCATCGACACACACACACACACTTTCTCTTTCTGTGACTTTCTCACACTGTAACACACACACACACACACGCTAGTGCAGAGGATCTTCATTTTCATGTTCATCGACTTAATTATCATCAGCATCAACACACACCCGCTTTTTCACTCATGGGAGCAAGCTGAGAAGAAGGATGTTGGAGGTTCCCATGCAGCGTGTTAACATCAGATACCTGTAAATAAAGAAGCTGCAGGAGTCGATTTGACTGATAAGTTTCTGTAAATGATTACTTAATGCTCGCCATTTCAAAGAGACGTGGTTACATTTGAAGGTTAATGAGAGTCCCTCTGTGGGATAGCAAGCGCATGAGAAGAAGAGGTTACCATGGCGTCATTTTACGTTAATATTTTGGTTCTTCTACTCGTATATAAAAAAAAAAAAAACATGGCTTCACAGTGGACAAGTAGTAGAGGTGATGTTCAAGATGCTACTTAAGTGGCCAAGTTGTGTTATAGTGACCCATGGGAAAATCTCAGGTCAACAGTGCATAGTGCATGGACTTTCACACTTTAACGAGTCATCTTTATAATATTTTTGGCTACAATGACAGACTTCTAGACTATCATCGTCTGTGTTTGTTTTCCTCACATTAAAACACCTTCAGTGAGTCCATCGTTCAAACAGCAAGATAATACCGTTGTCGTTTCTGCTCTCTCATCTGTTCGTTTATAAAGGTTTCCTCTCTTTTTGATCGGCTGTGTGTTTGTGAGCACCAAGGCAGCGAAGTGGTTTCACATTGCATCTCAGGGGACAGTATGTTGACTGTACCCACAGTCCTTTGCTGCACAGGGAGGACTGTGTAAGACCTAGCTGGTAGTTTTATTACATTACTGTCTGCACAGAGACCCAATGTGTGTTTGTGTCTGCACCTGAACGTCGTGCATGTTTTTATCATCTGTTAATAGTTTGGAAACAGTTTTCACTTTTATTTCTGTTTTGGGGTGGAAGTGTGTTCATGTGTGTGCATGTGTGTGTGATACTCCTGATGTCTAAATCATCAGGAGGCCACAGGTGTCAGTTTACATCTCTGGCAACAGCAGAAGGTGGTCATGGGAACTGCAGCGCAGATAAAGGACGTGGACAGACTGCCGCTGACAGCTGACCAATCATCTTCTCTAAACCCTCAATGACATCACCAGGACATGGCTGTCAGGCCGTCTCATTACACCGCGGCTGCAGAGTTTCAGAATCATCCGATGAGAGGATGAAACAGCCTTAATAACACGTCGGCGCTGTGGCGTGTGATTCTTGAAGCAGGTTCGTTGTATATTTAGAGCCGCGCCGTCCCTGAAATAGACACTTTACATGGAATTTTGAACTGTTGTATCCAGAAAGACAGCATGTAAACAAACATGCTGGCAGCTGCTGTGTTTTTCCTTGTATTATATAAGCTGACCTCTAAATCCCTCAGAGGTTGTGCTGGGAATTTCCAACTTTTGGCTTCAGTGACATCAGTGAACAACAATAATATCCTCGATTAAAAATAATGATGCCTGGAATCAAGTGTTCCCGTTTTGGAGGTCCGGCAAACATCTGCTGATGTTCTCTTACTACACCCAGATAACCATGAACCTCTCCAAGAGTTTTATAGCTGCTCAGATTTATTACTGTCACTAACTGAAGAAAAGCAAAGTTGAACTCAGGCTGTCGAAAATATTTCTGAGATGGAAATTTTTGTTTTTCTTGAGTTAATGTTTTACTAGTTTGTTTTTCTTCCCTTTTTGGATTTTTAATTTTCATATTCTGCTGATGCTTTGCAGTAATCTGGGTAAGTCTTAGTTGGGAACCACTTGATTTAACTGACACAGCAGTTTTGTTTGATATCGAATGTGCTGCTGAACATGAGTGTGAACCATTACCTAAAGGCATGGTTGACGATTGGAGGGATTGGTAATTATTATGAACCTCGTTTCTATGGCGATCATGGTCCTTTAGTGCGGTCTCCACAAAGTGAAGAGAAAAAACAATGGAAAAAAATCCGTTCACCCTAGCAGGTGCAGAGCTGCAAAAACATTGACCAATGGGAGCCATCCCGGACAGCTTCTATTGGTCAATCTTCTGCTCTGCCTCTCCATCTAATCACCTCGCTGTATTCGACACACCCCTCTTCCGTAGTTCTGACTCGTCCCCTCCCACTCTCCCGGCCCTCCTCGGAGCTTTGAGCGGCTAAAAATGGCATAGTAGCTTAGCTACAGGAGCTGTAATGGAGAAGGACGCAAAAAAAACCAAAACACTTCTGCTTGACCCACCGCTAAAAGTGGGAAGAAAACACAAGCCAACAGAAGAAAGGGCGGGGTCAAAGAGGATATGTGACCAAGTGAGGAATCGAACTGAATAAACATCGGGTCATCCTTCAAACGGTGAGGAAAGCTCCGCCAGGATTTTGGCCTGGGGTCGAACACACTGTAACACCAAGTTTGACACCCCCTCAAGAGATGAATGTTACCGACCGCTTGCTTCTCTAATTATACCAACTTGTCTGTATTGAGACCTAGGACTAGTCCATTACGGACTACAGCGGGGTGTTGCAGCTCAAGGAAGAACATTTATGATCATTTTTTCATGGAAATACAATCAGACCGAGACGCTAAGGCAGAAGAACTAACGCGTCTGCAGTGCAAAATGATTATTATGATGATTATTACTTCAAGGAAATGATAAAGAAATGATCATAAATGTTCTTCCTTGAGCTGCGTCACCCCACTGTAGTCTGTGATGGACTTGTCCAAGGTCTCACTACAAACAAGCGGCTGCTGGAAGAGAGTGGGTGAGTTGTGTTTAGTCTCTTTACTAAATAAATTAGGCAAAGTTAAAAAGATGTTTGGTGGCTAGTACTATGGCTGGGACCTTTTATGTACTGTTGATGAAGTTAGGTGCTGTTCTGAGCATTATTTGTGGCTATAGAGTGGTGTTTTGGTTGAGGTTTGTGCGTGGAGACGTAGACCGCTGTGTATTGCTATCGTGCGGTCGTTACTAAAGTTGGTACAACTAGAGAAGCAAACAGTCGGCAACATTCATCTCTTGAGGGGGTGTCAACCTTGATATTTTACGTCAGAAATATCCCTTTAAGATGGGAACGATTTGACCCATCTCATCCAACGTGATTGACAGTGACAAGGAAAAACTTACGCTGTTATCTGTCTGTCTAGTCTGACAGTCTAGTCCAACAAGTCTTGGCTCTTTGGATGTAAGGGCTCCTCTTCTATCTGCCAAATAAACTTTCGGTGAACCTGGATCACCAATGTTTGCAGCACTGTTGTCTCCAAGACAGAAAACTCACACCATCACCAGTCGTTGCGTGTGGCAGGATGGTCTTTCTTTTGGGCATCACTGAGCAGACATTGATGTGAACTCGCCACCTGTTCTTCATGGCAGTAGTTTGCAGTTTTTAAACACTGACTGGACTGTAAGGAGAAGCAGGAAAACGCTCTTAATGTTGTCACCTCAACCAACTCGCTGTTCCCTGATGTATATTTTGTTTAAAAGCGCCTGGCGGACGTTGTGCTGATTTACAGAAATACAGTCCAGATTCGCCATAACTGCTCCCAGGCGCAGAGAGCTATGTCTGTTGAACAAACTGACATTTATTGCAAGCCTACACCAAAACCACAAATAGCCTCTCTGCTGTTTGGAGCTTTTCTCCATAGTGTGAGCAGTCGTATTGGGTGTTACTAATGTGAGGTGACAGATAAACTTGTGAGGTTCTCGACCCACTGCCGAGTGTGTGTATATGTGTGTGTGTGTGTGTGTGTGTTTGTGGCGCAGCAGGGGGAGAAGCCAACAGTGTGTCCGGGCAGTAAGCAGGTCGTAAACTCCATCAGGTTCTGTTTTCTCTGGAAGACTCGGAGGGGATGAAGAGGAAAGTGGGCGAAAAAGGAAGGAGGCAGTAAAACTCTGGTTAGCTCCGTCAGCTCTCCTTCAATCAACAGGGGGATGGAGGACGAGGCCGAGCAGAGCCAGAGGAACGAAGAAAACATAAAACACGAAGAGGGGGGGCAGGCAAACAGGTTGGCAGAGAGTGAGAGAGCAGCAGCAGGACAAAATATATATGGTTTCTTTGGGGTTTCAAAGAATTTGTTAAATGTTTTATAGAAAGTTACAGCCGTCTGTGGTGGCAGATGGTCGGAGTTTGACACATGTGACCATAAATAAAGATTATTAGACTGAATGTGTGTGTGTTTGTGTGTGTGTGTCAGCGGGAGGGGGGTCATCTGTCCACCAGTCACAGCCCTGCATAATTTCAGTCATCACTTGTCTGTAGTTTGTCAGTAGCAGCGGACACATGTGGTGCACAAACACACTGAGGGGCCTGATGATAGGTCAAAGCTCTGAGTGTGTGTTTGTGTGTGTTTGTGTGTGTGTTTGTGGCAGAGATGATTCAGAGTAAATGGTCGACTGTCAGGTTAGGTAGTGGTCAGAGCAACTGTTGTGATGAAAACACTCTTAAACTGAAGGAAGAGACACAACACACACACAAAATAACACACCTGGCCTCACACACAGCAGGCATTTCTTTTCTTCCATTATCAAAGACATAATCCAGCTGCGATTCGTGCGCGCGTGTGTGTTTGTGTGTATGTACCGTAACATGATCTCGTAATGAAGCTTTTCAGAGCTTCCTGTTGTGACTCTGCTCCTGTCGGGGTTCAAACACTCGTCTCGCAGTGAAACCCAAACAACAGAGCGGTGACTGCAGCGACAGAGAGATCGGCTCGTGATCGTCTTTAAATGAATATAATAATAATAGTTCTGATGAATGAGTCGGTCAATTAAACAAAGCTTAGCAGACAGCATGAGTTTGTAACCGATGGTGTGTTGTTTTAGCGTCATATCTAGTGGTGATGTGGTCTATGGAAGACAAGAACGGCCATGAATTTTTCTTTGTTTATCACGAATTATTAACTCATTATCTCAACATAACAAAGATCGTTTTCTCATGATAATGGAAATGGCGTTTTAGCCGACCTAAAACAGTCACTTTTAGGCTTTGTCCACACGTAGCCCGGTATTTTTTAAATTTCTTTAGGCAAATAAGCTTTGCCTCTGTCGATTTAGTCATGAAAAAGTGTTTATGAATGTATGTTCATTATATTGGCTATACAATGAACAAATTCTTACTTTTAATTTTAATTTTAATAAAGAAATAATCAAGAATAAAGAATAAAGAAAAAAAAAGCTTAAATCAATATATTTGTATACGTTTTGGTCTGCCATCCACATGAAACCACAGGATAACAACATTAAAAACGGTGCTTATGGAAAACTCCAGTTTTGCGTTTGCCTGTGGACATAGATAACCAGAGTTTTAAATTCCCAAACATCATTGTCCGCTACAACTAATAGATAAACGTCATTTTCTATGTGCCATTGTTTAAGTCAGGCAGTGGACGGCACAGATATATAGGAGTGCTTTACAGTCAGTTATTCTACTCCAAATAATAATTCCTCCACTTTTCTTGTGTCTTGTTGACCTCAGACTCCAAAATGATCCTTAAAAGTAATTCTACTTCTTTGTCGGTCCACACAGACAAACTACATGGCACTTTGTTTCATGTTTGGGGAAGTGGATAAAATGGGTCTAACTTTTTAGCCAAAACTACCAACTCCAGGTCTGGCATAGTTATAACCGCGGTCAATAGCACATTTATGCGGTTCTGTGTGGATGGGAGTTTATTTGAAAACGATGACGTGTGTTCATGACTTTTTCTTTAAACCAAGGGGGGTTGGATATTCGTTTATAAAAATACTCGGCTACTCTTGTACAAGGCCTGTATTTCTGAAACGCTGCAGCCAGCCATCGTTGTCAAAAGTAAGTCGTGGTTTCCAGTGAAAACGCTGATGGCAGGCTCCACTTTGCGCTTGTGCATTACACTTTCAACATGGGAACATTTAACTACCATGCTTCAAATTGGACAGCTACAGAAGCAATGGTGGACACATTATTAATCAATTTGTTATCACAAGAAAACGATCTTTGTTATGTCAAGATAACGAGTGATAAGTCATTATAACAAGATAACAGTGCATTCAAAAAAAAATCCACGTCTGTTTTCGTCAGGAAATATCCTGTGAAACAAAACAAATAATGACAAAAACTTGCCACGAAGTAAAACTTTAAAAAGTTGGATAACTCTGGTCTACAGGGGATTTACTGTCTTTGTCGCCATCCTGACAGACCAAAGTTTTAATCACTTGTATTACAAACAAAGATAAATATCTGCATTAAAAAATAGCAACACTAAGTATATGAGGAAACAAAGAGTGTGTGTTCAATGACTTTTCTGTCCCACATTCATGCTTGAATATGAATGGCACACATGTAAAATTACCAAATCAGAATAAAAAAGTTAAAAATACATTCATTCGTATTGTTATTTAGACCACAATATATACAGTAAACACTGTATACACGATTCCTGTGTGCACTGCCAAAGCAGCTTTAAACTATTTCACCTACAACAGCATATTAAGACTTTAAAGGGGTAATGAGATAATAAACAGGTGTAAGTGATGGTAAAGGCTGGGTTTGTCTGCTGACAGCTTTTGAAAGAAGTTTATCTTCAAAGATTTAATCACTGATCATGGGAGGCGCTAATAAACAGTCACAAATGTTGATGTTTCAGCTCTCACATGAAACAGGGTGTGATTCATTCTCTGTCAGAGGCGTGTGATAAGCAATTAAGTTTTTAACAAAATCGATTTTCGCATCTCCACCCCCCCACTACTGTACTGTGGATATATCCACACACACACACACACACATACACACACACACACACACACACACACACACACACACACAGTATATACTCATGAGATCTCGCAGTCAATGTTTGAAGCTGTTACATTTGTCAGGATGCCTTTTTGCCACAAAGCCCATGGGCCTCATTTTCATTTCTCATCTCTGAGAACTGAGAGGTGCTTTCACATGTTAAATAGTGTGTGTGTGTGTGTGTGTGTGTGTGTGTGTGTGTGTGTGTGTGTGTGTGTGTGTGTGTGTGTGTGTCTCAGGGAGTTATAGAGGCTTTGCATCAACAGTTCAAAATAGAAATAAAGTATACAGTAGATACTTCAGTGTAGGGGTGTAAAGTAAAGTGGAAATTCATGTTCGACACACTCTTGATGAGCGGGGAAAATGTCTCTGTGTTGTAGACGGT